AATGTTGCTTACGAAGTCAAAGCAATTATTACGTTGGGCCGGCCTATACAAGTCATTAATTTTGCCATGTGTCCTGTTGTACAGAAAAGTATGTGTAGATACAAACTGAACAGACCACGTGTTATTAAAAAAATTGTAAATGGATTTCGGTTTAACCAGAAATCAATATAAAAATCAATTAAAGCTTTTAAATCTTTTGCCAATTTCAGTGTTCATTCAACTTATTAACTTGTGGCACATTTCAAAGTTGATCGATGAAGGAACAATGCATATAAACTTGTCAGTAAAAATAGACGAACAAGCGAACACGAGCGATCTTTAGTGTGCAGAAAAAGAGAACAGAAGAGACAAGAGGAGAGCTATTCTACAAAACAACGAGACTAGCAAAAATACAGGAAGAAGGCATAACCATCACAAAGTGGACTCAAAGGAAAAATACTAAAAATGTGGAAATTCATGAATATCAAATTTGAGGAACACAATGCATGTAATTGGCAGCTATTCTGCGAGGTGCAGCAACATCTGGACGAAGTTTTAGGAAATAAAAGAAGGGACTTTACATCCCGTCAGCCAGCTGGCTGTAAATCCACTACAACAACAACAGTAATATCCTTGTTGTTCCGACTTTCGATACGAAAGTAACGGAATATTTGTGCTCGGGTGGGTTTTTTTTTCAGACAAATTTCGACTTTTTAACTAGCCAATTTTGACGGACTTTTTTGAAACATCATTCGAAAGGTATTGTTGTCCTGAGCTCAAGTTTGAAAAGATATTTCACCTGTGATCATTTTTCGTAAAGTTACGGGGGTTTAAAGATTGCCATTTTGGGACCATCAACGCGCGATATTTTTCGCGCTATTAACGCGTAAGCGGAGAGTTAATCCGTCTTATAAATCGTTCCAAATTAGTTGAAAGAAGCTTATTTGCCATAATTGATTTGTTACAAGGAGCGAAATCTATCCTGTTGTACTTAATATGGCGTAAAAAATGCAAATTTTAGTTAAAAAAGTTTCATTTTTTATTTCTTTAATTTTTAAATTGTATTACTGCTCCATTAACATTTAAAGGCCGTCGGAACATTCATACGAGCAGTCTTGTTCATCTTTAGTTTTGACCCTTATATCATACAGCGCAGTTTTCTCACAAAATCTACAAACTATACAACTGAACCGATTGAATAATCGAATAAACTGGAGAATCAAAAGAATCTTAGTTTCTCTGCTAGTTTCTGGACAGTTTTTGTAGAGCCTGGTACTGCTCTTCCAGCACACGCAAAAACAAGTGGAACAAAGCTGCTGCGCTCCATATTCAGAATTCTTTGTTGGTACTTTAATGTTTTAACACTAATGATATTTGTAGGCGTCAGATATAGTTCAAAGGCACAATTTAGCATGGGGTTGAAATATCTTTTATCGAAAAAAGTTCAGCTGATTCGGCCTCCCCAGAGTCCATTTGCCTTGATTTTGATGTATTTTTATAGCGTGGGTATGGCCCTATCCAATCAGTGCACTGACCGTCGCATGAAGGAAGGGCCCATTTTCATTGATCCCCTTTTAGAGGTAATATAAAAAACCATGTTCTCGTGGCAAAAAAAAAAACGATTTTTTCTTGGTTTTCAAAGAGGGTGTGTGAGGTTCATTTTCTTAAATAAAAAAAACTAATTTATAAAAAAAACATGTCTAGAAGAGATGCATTTTCAAAACAATCAGCAAAATATATCAAGCAGAGCCCCCATCACAACTCAAGAAGAAACATCACCGACAACATCCAAAACAAACGTATTGCCCGACGCAACACAATCTAATCCATCACCCCCAGTAATCACTACAGTTCCCTCTGATCCCACTGGAAACTTATCAACCAAGAATTTAAAAGGAAAGACATATACAAAAATGTCGTTAACTGGAAACCTCATTTCACAGTTCTGAGCAAGAACAAGCCCGGTTTCCAATTCATAGAAGTACTGGGCCAGCAGCTGTTGTCATTAGTAGAAGAAACACCAAATTCTACCGTCACAATGAAAACAGCTATGCTTCTCCAATATCTGCTGCTCCCCAAAACTTAATCAGAAACAAACGTAACGAAATATAAAACTCTGAGCCACCGCATAATTTTGTGGAAGCAAAGCCGAGAAGACACAGTTTTCACTAAAGCGGAAGCTCTCCAAATTCGACATCCAAAACAAAAGAAGTGCAAAGTAAACGAGGAAATTAGACATTCGACAAAACTAGCGAGTATAGGCAAAATATCTTCCGCCATTGACTGCCTTTCAGACAAGAAAACAAAAGGAGTACTTCCCCTAAACGAAGTCATTGAAGACGAACAGTCCTTGGTATCTTGAAAGAAAAACACCCCCAAGCCAAAGCAGCGAACACTAACTATATAGCTTAAGTAACTGAAGACACAATGCCATACCACCCCTCTATATTCGAACAAATAAACGCCAAGACATTACGAATATCAACCCTGAAAACGCACGGAAGCCACGGTCCCTCAGGTGTAGATGCGTGCGAATGGAGAAGGATGTTAGCACACTTCAACCAGACATCCACGGAGCTTTGAAAAGCAGTTGAAAAGCTATCCTATACAATATCAAGAAGTAAAGTTCTCCTCCATGAAAACCTAACGATGTACAATTTGTGTCGAATGATATCTCTGGACAAAAATCTAGGGGCAAGGCCGATTGGTTTAGGCAGGGGCGGATTTAGGGGGGCGGGGACGATTCGACCCCCTGCCGACCCAAAGGGTCCCCCCTTTGATACTTTTTCAGAAATCCATTTTTGGCTGACCGACCCTAATATTTTTTGAAGGCGCCTGCGGTGCCAATATATACTAACTTGGAGGGTGAGCGCGCGCCAAAAAAACGCAATTTTTTGTCAAAATTTTTCAAAAAGTGCCCAAAAACGGCAGTAAGTGCCCAAAAATTTAGCCAAAATAAGGGCAAAATAGTGCTTTGGGAGTTCACGAACAATCAATTTGATCGACAATTTAGTCAACTTAAAAAAAGGCCGTCAAAATTTTCGAAAATTTTTTGAAAATCCGCCCCCCCCCCCCTGGGTATAGGCAACGTTCTGAGACGAACAATTGCAAAACAATTACCCAATGTATAAAATCAGACCTTAAAAACCTCGCAAAAAAAATTCCAACTCTGCTTAGGCCAGAAATGTGGAATCGAATATGCTATCCATAGCTTGAGGCATGAGTCTAAAAAAAACGGAAACGGACGCATACTAGTAATTGATGCCTTCAACTCGCTCGATAGAGAACTTGCTCTAAAAATGGAGAAGTCCTTTATCCGGCGCTACAACCTGCGCTGCTCAACTCATATAAACATCCCTCAAACTTGTATGTCAACAACACGTCAGCATGCGATAAATACATGGAAAGCGAAATTGAAAAGACAACTACCCTAACTGAAAAGCTTTCCAAAATAGCTAAAACATCACCATAAAATGCGTACTCCTGCTAAGCAAAAGGAGTTTTTAAAAAAAAAACTTACTGAGCAGAACAACTCCGGAAGCTTTTTAAAAAAAATTGATGAAACTGTGAAAAACTTGAGACAACGGCTACTTCCTAGTTTTACACGTAAAACTCATATACCCTATGAAGATCGCAGTCTTTTTGCACTACCACTACAAATAGAGGATTAGAACTCATCAGTAACACGGACTTTTCCGGCAACTATGAGTGGTAACGAGCCATTTGTGATCCATTAGAAAACAGTGATCCAGATAGCGCTGAAACGGAAAACTCTGATTAAAAGGAACATCAAAACTGAGACAGAACATCACACTCCTGAAAAAGGCTAAAATTATTGAAAACTGCTCATCAGAAAAGAAAGCTAAAAAATAAAACTAGCATCACAGAAAGGAGCAACGAACTGGCTAATCGTGCTACCTTTAAAAAGGTAAACTTTTCTTTCAAAAAATCAGAGTTCACAGATGATTTACAACTGAGATATGGATAGGAACCACCAAACACCCCACATACATGCCCATGTGGACAACCGTTTACACTGACCCACTCTCTAGACTGCCCAATAGGTGGATACGCTCATGTAAGACAATGAAGTCCTTTGCGACACTCCTGGACAAGTATGCCATGAGGTTGAGATAGAACCGAAACTACAGTAGTTGGAAAGCAAAAGCTTTCACAACAAAACAACCACTACTGAAGATGACGCTCGACTTGGCATCAAGGCAAAAGGACTCTGGGGAGGCCAATTCAGCCGAACTTTTTCGATGTAAAAATTTCAAACCCCATGCTAAATCGTGCCCTAAAAGTATATGACGCCAACAAATATCAAGAGTCAAACCATTAAAAAACCAACAAAGAATTCTGGACAAGGAATTTTTGCGTGTACTAGAGGAGCTGCAAAAAACTTATACATACAACATAGACAATTCCATTAGTGCTATAATCGAGGAGGGTCGATTTTAATTAATACTTCTCTGGATGCTTTAAAATCGATTTGATTTATTCATACTATTTTGCCGATGTATTTAAATAGCGTTGGTATGGCCCTATCCAACCTGTGCACGGACCCCTGTCACTTCAAAAGAAACCAAGAGAAGTATATGAAAAACATGTTCTGGAGGAAAAAAAAAACATTTTTTCTTGGTTTTTAAAGAGGGTGTGTGAGGTTTATTTTAAGCTTTTGAAAATTTATTGTCAGCTAAATAATCCTCAAAAAAACACCCGAATCAAAAGAAAAAAAATAGGTATGAAAACCGACATAAAAGCCGAAATCCAATAAACTGAAAACCAACCAATTTTTTTCGGCGAAAAACTTTTCAAAAAATTGATGGACCATCTACACAGCATCGATCGCTTTAAATAGGCCGACCAGTACCGAAGAGATCAGTACGAACATGTCACGTGCTGAAATGACGCAACGTGTTAAAATTTCTGAAGTTCTTAGCAAAAAAAAAACTTAATACACGGTTCCAATACCCTTGCTAATCGCAAGGGTAACGCTCCAAATCTTTCAAAACACTTACCCTCCTCGAATATCAAATCCGAAAACTTGACCAGCTTTCCCTTTCACGAGAGTTACTTTTCTGGGCATGAAGATAGTTTCGTCTATTTCGTAATCTGAATTCACCGTTCGCATATCTGGAGGCAACCATCTAGGTGGCGGTAGATACGCTGGTAATACTACACGTATCCTGTCATCCGCGTCAATATCACGACGCATCTGCATTCTCCTATCAACCTCACGTTCATCATGAAACCAATCGTCGTAGGGTCTCTGTAATGCACCATCTTGTCGGGCATTGTGTGAATCGTACTGAATATTATTCTGATTTTTAACAACACCACGATTGAGTGGCAAGTTTTGTGATCGATGATATTGCTGATCTTGATCGGGTGATCTTTTTCTCGGGTCGCGGTAATTTGGATCGACAAAGTTTTGATTTTTCAGCTGTGAAGACGGAGGGAAATGATCTGTTACGTCTTGAAAAGACGGAACCCTACTGTTTCGCCATAGCGGGTCAGCGGATGAACTTCTTACACTCGATCGTTTCATAGAACTCTGGCGCTCAAAGTATTCGCGCGCCATCTTTCCACGAAAATAAAGTTCACTGACAAACAAAAACTAGAAAACACCAGTTGTCCCAAAATGGTGGATATTTTATAAGCAGTGCGTACCCACATGGCCGCATTCACGTATAACCGAACAACTCAAACTTTCTAGTTGAATTGACTATCAAATAAACAAAATATGTCTACAAAGGCAAATTCGTCACAAAATTTGGACTAATAATCTTGAAATGATATCCTATTTCTGTTGGAAACTCAGCGAATAAAAATTCCAGAAGACAGAAAACATTTTGTTTGCGTAATAATTTTGCTTTCTTTGATTTAGATAGCAATAAGAGTGCGACTACTTGAAATTCTTCGTTGACAAAATTTAAAAAAAAAAACAAAAAAAAACACGGCCCTTGCGTTTAGTTACGGTAAGTGCACAAGCTGGATAGGCACATGCTGGATATCAGCAAGCTGTATCAATTTATTAATGAAGTCATAAATCAGCAATAAATGCATCGTCGTAAGGTTAATTTATCTTAGCCGTCCTTCCTCTACAATAGCGCTTATGGAGTTGTCGATAAATTGAACTTTGCGTAGCGATCTGCACCCCCTTATACAAAATATAGAACTCCTCAGGAGCGCGAAGCTTATTTTAGTTCTTATGTAGTTAATAGATTCTGGATAGCTTTCTTGTCTTTTTTCACTTAGTTTTTCGGCTAATCGCTGCATAGTCCGCGTAGCTGTTGGAGCAGCACCACCGGTGCATCCGAAAATTAGCGGGCAGAAGCTACTCTGCTCTACGTTTGACTTTCTTTGCTGATATTTGGAGTTCTTCAGCGTTTCGTGGTATTTGCATGCGTCTCTATGCAGTTTTCGCGATGTTCTGGCATAGGGGTTAAAAAATTTCACATCAAAGAAAGCGCGGCTAAATCGTGAACACCAGAGTCCGTTTGCCTTAATGTCAAGTCGTGCCTCTTTTTCAGTTGTAGTTGATATGTTGACAAAGCTTTCGACTTGCAACAGCTGAAGTTTCGGCTCAATCTCGACGTCATGGCAAACCTCGTTCATGAGGTTGGCGAATGTGTCTCTGATTTCATTGTGTCTTATGAGTGTGTAACCGCCCTTTGCACAGTGTAGCGCATGTGTCAAAATGAAATTAGCACCACATGCACCAATGAGTGGGGTTTTGGTCGGTTCTTATCCGTATCTTAGGTAAATACCATCTCTGAATTGTGATTTATTCAGGTTCAATTTATATCTAATCAATGGCAAAGCGTTGAGCCAGTTAGAGGCTCCCTTCTCAGAGGCCAGGTCGATTGCGTATTTATCTGTTTCATCTAAGGAGTTCATGAGTTTGTTTTCTTTCGGTTTGTTCGATCAGCTTTCAATTTTTTTCGTACATATTTTTCCTTGCTGTGTTGTTGCTGTAGCAGGATCTTGAGATTCCAGTACTAGTGATGTTTCCTTAGACCATTCTAGATAGCTTTCATGATCGGATGGCAGCTTGAGGTTAAGGCCGCCCATTTTAAGGGGTAAGGAAGATATCTCACGGAACTGGGGGTTCAATGTGTCTTTACCGATTAGGTTAGGAATTAAATGTTCTTTGATAATCTTTTCACATATTTATAAGTTTTCCATAGTGTTGAGCGTTGTTCAGGTAAGAAATGAAAGCTTTTCTTGAACTCCGTTAGTATAGCAGGCATAAACGTTTTGGAGGAGGTTTTAGCAATTTTTTGTAAATTTTTTTCAAAATTTCGAATTGCTCATTCAGTTGAAATTCGAGGAATTTTTTACATTCAAATTCTGTTCCTATAACTGAACCAAGCAGTCGGGCGCCTGCTTTTATAGTGATTCCTGTTTTTTCGAAAACTTTCTCAGCTTCACCGAATTTTTTATCTTTGATAATGAGTTGGCATTTGGATGCTTTAACATAGTAGCAAGAAAATTTACCTCGTGATACATTTTTATCGAGGACAGTTCGTAGATTGCTTAAATTATCGACTGCGTTTCCGTCGTTTGCGTGCCATTTCTGGGTTACGCTGTCTACTGATAAAAGTTTTATGAGGGGTTTTATGGCTAGACCGTACATGGCCATTGCTAGTGGATCCCCCTGGGTTGTCCCCTCTTGAGAGTACATGGTTTTTTTGTTAACGAACAGTTTAGATGGATTTGAGTAGGAGTTGTTAATCGCGGTTAACAGAGATGGGCAGGTATTTTCGATGTTTTTCAATGCTAACTTTCGGTTTAGCGAGTTGAAAGCGTTTTCGGCAACTATCAATAAAACAGCATCGGCGGAGGTTTTGCTGTATTGATCTCTTGGCGTGTGGATCGAATAATCAATGCCACGTTTCTGTCCTAGACAGAGTTGATAGTTTGAACCGACCGACATGAGTTCATTTTTTAGGCATTTGGTTATTGTTCGTCCCATTATCCTACGCATAACTTCTCCTATGCCTATGGGTCTTACTCCTGGATTTTTATCTAAGGGTATTAACCTACATGCGCTATATGGTTCCAGTAGTTCTGGATTTAGTTCTTCGTTAGCCAATTTTCTTGCAATTTTAGCAATTGTTTTCGAAATTTCAATTGATTGTTGCCCGAAGTGTGTTAAAATTCGTCTAAGTTCATTTGCATCAAGGAAAGATGGTCCATGAGATCCATGCGTTCCTATGGCTGCTTTCTTAATATGTTGACCGTTTATTTCATCAAATATTGATGGATGGAAGGGAATTGTTTCCTTTGAGACTGGTGTTGTATAGTTGTCATCAATTGGTTCAGATGGTGGGTGCCTCTCTATAAGAGTCTGTTCTAATGTTTTACATTTGACGATCTCGTCGCGTGAAAGAACGCCTTTGGATGTATCTGTTAGTTTTGCTATTGCGCTTGATATTTTACCAGTATTCATTAGTTTATTGAACTGTTGTGCTTCAGTTTCAGTTTTTCTTCTACTTCCTTTTGTGAAGCGCATTTGCAGCGCCTTCTCCTCGTTATTTAGGCCATCCAGGTCTCCGTCTTGCCATTGCTTAAGTCGCCTTGCAATTGTCTTGGATAAACATCCATAATTTTCGGACTTTGTTTTGCTCAGTAGCAAGTGTGGAAAGATCATTGCTGCGTGCATTGCGGAGGTATTTTCCTTCACTTCTATTAGGCTGTTCAGAGTTCTATTGAGGGTTTCAATGAAATTATAACCAACTTTATTTTTTTGATAAGATCATAAAGACCGGTTTCCAGTGGACCACTTTGGAGTAAATTTTCCTTGTGGTTTCTAGGAGTTCTGGACAGCGGTTTGACCATGGGTCTTGTGTTGTTATAGTTTCGAGAGTGGAGGACTCTCTTGAGTTTTGTGAAAGTGGGGTAGTGGAAGGGTGAGGGTGAATTTGGAGGAGTGTGATTGTAGCTAGGGTTGGGAATTCCATTCATGCGCGTCGTTAGCTGAATGAAATTGAGAGGTGCAGCGATGACAGCTGAAATCGTCATAACGATCACTGCTGCGGGCTAGGCCGCAGCATTATACATGCATATAGCCTGGACATGTGAAGCACCAAACACCTCCGCCTCGGAAGCTGTTTCTATAAATAAGGCAATGTGTTTGAGTAGCCATTTCAGGAAGGATGACGGTGTCAAGTTAGCGAGCGAGTTTATAGATTATACTTGCAAGAAAATTAGTAAAGAAATCATTACCGTAGAACGAGAAATGGATGCCATCACGGCAGAACATTTGAGGGGCTAGATTTAGGTTGAGGTTAGGCGAAACAATGAGTGTATGTGGGTGTACAAATCTATTATAGTTCTATTACAGTGCTATTACAGTTCTGAATTGTTTTGGGGATGATATGGGTCTTGGGCTGAAAATTGTTAGTGACGAGTTTAATCAAATTTTTCCACTGCTGTTCTAATTCTTCTGGATGCAGCCTGTTGTTATTGTAACCAGCAACTATTGTTACTGTATTTAGGCGCTTTGGTCTGTATTGCAAAACTGTTTGAAACAGATGATGAAGCGTTGCGCCGCGGTAGGAGTGAATTGTTGATTTTACTAGAAATGGTTTGATATATTTGGTCCTTGAAGTCCCAATAACTAGTTTTACTGTGAGAGTTCAGGGATGAGTCTTGCCCGGAATCGCGGTATCTAACTGAAACACAGACAACTGGGGCGAGAAAGGAAGCTCGTTGAGGTGATTTATGAATACTTTCAATTAGGATGTGATGAAAAAAAGGAGTGGTACAACCTGACGTCGTTTTGAGGGGTCGACTCACCGGCTCACTCCTTTTTGCGTCTAGTTACGCCAGGGAAACTTCACTCGCCTACGGCTGGGACGGCGAGATATGGCAAGATAAGTCTGTGAGGAAAACCAAGCGCATTTAATATGAAATTACACAAGAGGTAAAATTGAACAAACTCACTATTCAATGCGGCTATCGCAGCAATTAGGCTAATATTCACATCGGTTTGTACTACAATTTTTTTTTATAGGTAATCAGAAGGTCAAAAGTATCATAATAACCGAGGTTACAGTCAAGAGTCCCTTCATCACGTATTCCAGTCAAAATTTTTTGAATTTTCTAGATATGGAAGTGTAATGATAGAAGAATATGATAAGTGTTTAAGTCCTTTTCTATTAAAATCGATACGGGCTACGTTTCTTCAATAAAAACACGCAATTCGACACGAGAAAATATAATATACAAGTTCGTCGAGAGTTATTTTGTCATTCAATGTTCCGAGTACGCAAGCGGCGTTCGCAATCTGTATTGCCAGAGAGATTTTCTGTTTTAAAAAGCTGCCTGCTCTAAGTTCCTCAATGCATATGCTTAGGTTCTTACAAAGCTTGCTCAAAAAAATTCTGTGCTGGGGCCGGCCGCGCCCTGAATCTCAAAAGCTAGCGGTTGAAAAAGATAACCATCATCTACAAGATCTTTATACTTGTCATTTTTTTTGTTCTTCCGCAACAGGGTTACAAATTGACCCGGCAATAATCTTGCAGGGAGCTAAGGGGTCTACCACCGTTACATCCCACAAGAGCTGCTTACCCACAGCCCATGGAACTAGCGTCAAACAGTCTGGTCG